TAAATGAGTTTCTCTTCAAAGTACTTACCTTGGTGAAAACGTGTTCAAAATCTTCAACAAGTCATCCCTGGAAGTCATGAGGTGTAATCCCAGATTTAAGTGGAATTCTCCCATCATTCAGACTGGAGCCTGCCCTCCACACTTGGTGCTCCTGGGTCACTGTTCACAGCTCCCACGGCTTCTGTAATTTGGAGCTGCCCCCAAATCCCTTGCCATTTAGAACACTTCGAAGAGAGTTAAAATTTCTGCCTGTGCCATGAGTCCCAGAGAGAAGAGATGTGCTGCATGCAAAGTGTGAGCTCCAGGGTCTTGTGAGCTATTTTCATCTCATTGATGGAACCACCAAGAGCAATTTCAAACCCCACCTTCAAGTCACATGGCTAAGTCTTTCTTTATTACATAGAGGAGGTGCACACCCTCACAACTCCTCGAGACCAGGCATCAGAACCCTTGGGATTGCTCTTTCTAATTCATGCACTCACCTTTAGCCCTTACACTAGGCAAAGCGGACAGAGATACTGTTTAAAGGGTAGGTAGGTCTCGTCCTCAATTCCCATTCTCCCATATCTGTCCTTTTTAAAAATCTTTTGCGTCTGTATCTTGCAGTGACATCTTAGATTCATTTGCCTCCTGCAAGATGTCCCCTCCTCCACCGGCTGTGTTTCATTCTGCCTGTTGTTGGTTCTACCCGTCTCCCATCCTGCCTACTCCCTCTCCTGCCTGTCCACCTGCCTAGTACTCTGGGAGCCCAAGCAGCTTTAACACTTGAACACTGAGGGTGGTTCTAGGAGTTTCAGAGGCAAAAGCAGCCCAGGGCTTGAGGAGCAATGCAGAGCAGTAACCACGTCTGCCTGGACAGGGTGGTCCATGGATTCGATTTTTGACGATAGGGGAGCTGGAAACACAGAACTCAGGGACAGGGAGAGTTGGTCCCTGCTGCCAGATGACATCTTTTTTCTCTCAGGACCTTCTTCTAAAATATTAATATATTTTCAGTTTATAAAAATGATCTAGTTTTGTCCTCCCAACCCCTGATGACTGTGTTTTTTCTTCTTTCTTTTCCTTGTTCCTTCTTTATGTTTATTTTCTTTTTTCTGCTATATCCTTTATATTCTGAAATATGGATATGTAATTATCTCCATGTTTGGGTTCCTCAAGCATTTTCTCATGTTATTAAAATAGTTCAGATTTGCATAGTTAATGTTTAATGTTTTAGTGGTTGCATAATATTTCATGATCACACTCTGGGAGGGTTGCCTAATGTAGCAACCAGCAATACAGGGGACCTGGTTCAACCTGAGCTTCAGCTAAACGATAAATGGATGCGTTCGTGTGTGGATGTCCCATGTAATATTTTCCATTGCAATATTTGGGACATACTTATTTTTTTTGTTGTTCATCTGAGATTCTGATTGAACTGGGCATCCTGTATTTTATCCCGCAATCCTATAAAACATCATATTCTTCAACACAGTCGCTTATTGTTCAACACGATGCAGCTGTTTTCAGCAATGTGACGGACATCTTTAGGCATAAAATTTCATATTTTGACTTAACTTCCTTAGTTGGATTGTTAGCAATAGAATTACCAAGGAGATGAGTATTTTTTCCAAGACTTTTCAAAGCTATTGCCAAATCGCTTTTTAAAAAGGTTATAGCAATTTGTGCTCCCACCAGCAGCGTGTACGAGTGCTCATGCCCTGCCCCCTTGCTAACATTATCCTCACTTAAATACTCCTTTGCTATTTTGGCAGGCAAATAATGACATACCATTTTCATCTGTGATTACTAATGAAGTTCGCATTTTTTTGTTTATTAGGCATTTTGTGTCCCGATTTTTAAGTTTTCTGCAACTGTATCCTGACTTCTCTGCCCCTGCTTTGCATTGCTTTGAACTCTAAGGAATATGATGTTTATTTATTTCCTTGTTTTTCCTCTGCCGCTGGGGCTCAACCTGGTCCCCATGCTCAGGATTCAGGACAAGTTCTGCACAGTTACCACCAGCCTACCTGCCACCCCACCCATTGTTCAAAAGCAAAAGCTTCCTAGGACTTCTAAATGCATTTCAAATAAATCAATTAAAAAGCATAGGAGAGTAATTTTCTTTAGAGCCTGCCTACAGAATGAAAGTTTTCACAGTTCTCCCCCAACGCAGCTTCTTGTGTATGGACTGGGTTCAAATACAGCTTCTGTAATGACCCGCTGTGTCCACCCCCAGAACCAGAACCCCCCCCGCGCCCCGAGTGTGCTGTACAGAGGAGTTCTGCTGGGTTCGTGGGAGCAGTAAAACTTCATGGTCACCGCATCGCTTCCCTCTGGAAACACGGGCACCCCATGCATGGGGCTCCATTCCAAAGGGAAGGGGGAGCATTGCTATGGATTTCAACAGGCATGTTACCCCATTCCTGTTGGGGTCCAAAGCTTCAGTGTAGTAAAGAGTAGTAAAATAGCAAGATTTGCTTCCTTTAAGAAAGAAAGTCTCAACAGTACACATGTTCTTAAACATTTCTGTAGGTGAAGTAAATAGCGCATTTGCACTCCCTGGCCTTTTGACCTCTAACTCAAGGTGGCGCCCTGCCTCCGTCTCCTTCCCTGGGAGTCCTCCCGATTAGTCCTCGTCACTGTAAAATAAGAGGCCATTGGCTTGCCTTCTCTGTGACATTCTCGTCCCAAGTGATGTCTTCCCAACTGGCCATTTGCATGGTCCCAGGACTGGTTTTGTGGAGATTTGCTATGTTCTCCTGACTTCTTCATTTTCTGCATCATGCCAGCTAGCCCAGCCTTGTTGCATGAAGTTTGCAGCATTATGTGGCAGTCTGCTCCCTAAATTGAGCATCTCCAGATGACCTGTTGGAGTATCCGCCCCGACTCCTGATGCGCTGGGTTTTCTCATCCATGCTACTCAGTGCTCCCACTCTTGGCATTCTCAAACCTGCTCTGGGGTCTTTCTTTTCTTTCTTTCGACTTGATATTTTAAGCACCTGAGTATACTGCATCTAATTACACATAGCTGGCTTTGGGATTTTGGCGATTCTAATGTGGAAGCCCCCATTTTTAAACCGTTCTGACCTGCTGAAAATTAACTTGAGCCACTGCCAGGTGCATCTTGGCCGATACAGGCCTCTTCTTGCTCCAGAAAACTCCTGGTCTCCTGAGGAGCCCGGCCACAGAAGACTACCTCAGGGAGGGGACTGGGGCGCTGTCTGTGGTGGCCTTTTCTCACCCTCCTGCAACTTTCTCTGAAGCCTGCAGGAAATGAGTCTCCACCTCCCGTTGGCCATCATCAGGGGCCTCAGATTTCTCAGAAAAAATAATTAAAATGTACATCTGGACAAGGGGAAAGACCTTAGCTCAGCTGCTAGGCGCCCACCTTGCAGCCCTGCGTTCACTCCCAGTTTTTGCCGCTTACTCATTGAGGGGAAGCACTCAGCCTCTGCCTCATGGCCTGTAAAATGGGACAAGAAGAGAATCAGTGGTGGGGTTGAACGGGGCCTCAGCACCGCACTCCACCCATGGTGGTCGATCGACATGTAGTATTACGAAGACCCTCATCCAAAAGCTTGCGTTTCATCAAGAGTAGAGATACAAAGGCAGCTTCTTCTGAGCTCCTGGGGATGCCAAATATTTACATATTTCAAAAGGTCATATTCATAGACATTGTGCCATTTTACAAATCATTTCTCCAGCGGAAAACCAGCATTCTTTAACTCTTCCTCCGAATACCAACTTGGAATCCAAATCTGGGCAATTATCATCATTCACAAATAATCTACATTTCTGTGCAGACGGAATGTACCATATTGTCATTCTTGTATTTGCTCAATTTGCATAATGCACCCTTTGAGGACTCATTTGGAAGCACACATGTATACTAGAGAAATCAAATGGATTGGGAGAAATATTGGACTGTAACATTTTGCTGTCGAGTGTGTGTTCCAGATTAATGCAGAGGCCATGGAGGCATCAAATATGCAGCTTGTAAGAGTGGGATCTGTAACCGTATGCGGTTTGGGAACTCATTGAAGAGGGTAAAATTGGGGATATGTCTGAATGTATGTCTTGTCCTGTAATTGGACTGGACTTGTACTGATTTAATGGGAGAAAATATATGTCCTGTGTTTCTTAAAATGTCATTAATTTAGGGGAAGATACAGAAAAGCAAGGATGGCTTTTAAGATGTCCTTCGCAGAAGGGATTAGTTGCAGACAGTGGCAACAGGACCACTTGACTCTCGGCCCACCCAGCGAGCTCACTCCCCTTCAGTGCGCCGCGTGGACACACGCCCATGCATACCCCCAGCAGCACACATACTGGCTGCCTCTTCATTAGCTGCTTTGGCCTGTTGTTTTCTCCATGTCTTGATTCTGTTGGTTGGTTTCTGTTTTTCCTCCTCCTCTTCTTTTGCTCCTGGCTCTGTCTGCTAGAGGAACCCTTCTCTCGCCCACTTTGCATTCTGATGAGCCTGCATGCCTCCTCACGTTCTTCTCGTGGAAGAGAATTGGACCATAACTCATTGTGGAATCGGTGGTGATTGCCTCCAAATTGGCCAAGGGGGACACAGGCAGATTTTGAGAAATAAAAGGCCTCTCTTTGCCATGGCCCAAGAGGCAGGGCTGCAGACACATTTCGCCTGGTAATAAGAGCAGCAACTTTCCATGGAGCACAAAACAAGAGCGTCAGTGGTTTCAATCCTGTCTTTAATTTTTGCGTATTTAATGCAAAAATATTTAGAGCTTGTTTTTTTCAGCCTAGACAACCATGTGTCAGGAAGCATTTAATGCAGTTAGAGAGAAGGAGGTATAGCAAAGCCCAAGACTGTGAGGTCGGGATGACCGGTCCTCTTATGCTGGCCAGCCAGGGACCTGGAACTTGGGGGCCCCCCCGCCCACGCCCAGTTGCTTCTCCTTGACCACTTCCACGACAGACTCTTAGTTGATACCAGCGTTTCCTATGAGTGGTGTTCTCTCCCCATCTAATTGTTTCTTTTGATTCCTCTACAGGGAAACTTTGTGGCTTGTATGACAGCTATTTTACGACAAATGGAAGATTATCATTACGCCCATTTGATCAAGACTTTCGGGAAAATGAGGACTGATGTTGTGGTGAGTGTAAGAAGTTACACTTTTTCATAGTGTAGCCCTTTTCGTATGACCCTTTTCATATGACCGTGTTTGGGGGGTCAGCATTTTAGGCAAAACACTGGTGTCAGTATTTCCATTTTAAGTATGATTTTGAATGGGGATTTGGCTCCAACTGGTTTGAGAAACCACGTGGCAAGGAAAGCTATGTTTCTAAGAAGATGAGGGTCCCGACACATGGACTTGTTCTCAATGCTGAACTGGGCAGTGACTCAGCGTGTCAGCCAAGAAAGAGCTTCCTTATGCTCTGGGATCACTGGAGATGTGGAGACGCTACCCATGGAGTGTCTTCTAGTAACTCCTGTTCGCTTATTGATTGGCTTCTCAATAGCAGAAGCCAGAGAGTCTTTTCAGCTTTAAATTATACTCTGGTATTAATTAGCTCTAATCATGGGAGCTTATCAGCATTTCTCCAAATAATTCTCTAGTCATCCTCAATACAACTATGATACAGCTTAATTAGGAGAAGCATAATAGAGGGGAAGTTAGTGCTTAGGAACCACCTCCCTAACGACCTGAAATCCCATGGCCAGACGGCAGATGTCTTCTGGAAAGCTGTTGACCTAAACTCTGGGGTCTAGTAACACAGATATCATTTCTGAGACACTTAGATTCCTATAGGACCCAGCAAATGCTACTAGTGTTTCCAGAACAACACTGGGGACACTTTACATCATTATATCTGCCTAACTAAGGGAGGGGAAGAAGAATACATTTAATGATTATTTTCCAAAGGATTATTTCAATAAAAAGTGTCCTTATTAATTGTTGCCACTCTGAGCGTGTGTGTGTGTGTGTGTGTGTATTTAAATTTCTAAGGAGACAAAAATGGGTGTACCCTTAATATCATAGCAGTTTTCCTTAAATTTCTAAGGAGACAAAAATGGGTCTACACCTTAATATCATAGCAGTTTTTCTTAAATGAAAGTGAAGGAACGAGAGAATGTATATGTGTTTGTGTCTCTGGGTGTTTAGTTCTTTTCAAAAATCTGGACATGCAGCTTAAAGGAGGGGTTGCTCAGGTATATGATCTGCATTACACTTGTACCCTATCATTCCTCAGCAGTTACGGCGCAGTGAAATCACATTTGATATGTGGAACGTTCCATGCAACCAGTGAAATCTTAACCGTATCCCTCAGCCCTGTTTGGGTCAGTGGAAGGAGAGTTGTAGCTGAACCTATATGAACAATTTCCTAGATGGCATTCCAGGCTGAATAATACAGTTTTTAGAATGAGAAGCATTACCCGTCTTGAATACTTAGGGCTCCAATTAATCATTTACTCTTTATCAGAATAGTCATGTGATCCAAATCCACACATGCAAACCACGAAAAATATTTCATCTGAACTATTAAGGGGTCCCGTTGGTAGGGAAGCTTTAGTGCCTTGTGAAACGTGATTCTACAGTGTGGTTTTTAAAAATGACTATAATTTGCTGAATTCCAAGTGTGTTCCCTCTCTCCTTGCTTGGAGCAGATGATCAGATACTTACTACATGTTGTGGTCCTGATTTCCCGAGGAATTTTTTTTTCTTTAGACACAGCAGTTCAGAAAATCAATTAATTGCAGACGATTTGATTTCCATTATAAAATGGCATTTGTGGTTTGGATATCACGAGTTCATATTGCAAGGATTGTAGACCTTTTTTATTGTTGTTAATCTGTCAGAACCTTTGTAAAATGTGTTCCTATCCATTAACTGTACATAGAAAGTATTTGACTATTTTTCTACTCTGACAACCATTCACAAAAATGAGAGAACATTTTGTGTTAAATAATTGAAAGTTAGTTAGTACTGCGATATGAAAATGGCCCAGTCCATTTTCTCGGGACTACGTCCTTGTAACAAGCGCTGTTTCAGGTTTTCAAATTTAGCCCTTGTTTGGTTGGATGAGTGATTCCCATAGAAAACCACAGTTACTGTCAATGCCAGAGTCCTATGCCTCAGTGCTGTTGCTTGTACAGTCTCTCAAATGGCCCCTCAGGCCCCGGGCCAGGGAGAGGAGGGAGCGCAGCGTAAGGCAGAATGATCCAGAAAAGAAAAAGAATGGGCATGTATGGTTCCAGACTCTCAGGACAGAGCGCGCCTCAGGGTGACCTGCAGCATCCTCAGTGGGAGGAGGAGCCTTGTGCTGAACACGTCTATTTCTTGTGACCATTTCCTTGTAAATGAAGCTATAGTGAAGGTACTGTCACTGGATAATGAGTCTGGGGAGCGCAGAATGAAGTCACTCAGTAATTACTTACTGAGCATCAACTTTATGGTCGCACAGTGGAGGAAGTAGTGGGCAAAGCAGACAGGCCTGCTCTCGTGCCCCTGTAGTCTGGTGGAGAACATCACAGTTAATCAGGGAGTCCTTCCAACCAACCCCCATTGTCCATGTTGCAAAGGAATGGTCCTTATAAAGTAGCCAGACTGGACTGAGTCAGCTGGTGAGAAAGGCTTTGTGGAGGAAAGGATTGTGGAATATTGAAGAATAGAAGGAAGAGCCATGCAGGTAGGAGGTGGGGTGTCATGTACAGGAGGGTATGCAGGGGTTGGGGGGTGGGAGGGGCAGCAAGAGGACCAAGGCTGGGATGGGCCTGGGCAGGGCCGTCACACCACCCAGGACCCCGTACGCCATGCTGAGAAACTGTGTTCTTCACTTGTTTGTTTTCAACTTTTTACACCATTTGTTTGCTCCTCATTGTTTTAAAATTGTTTTTTCAAGCATTTGTTTTTTTGAGTAAACTTTTTGAGATAATTGTGGTCACACGTGGCTGTACAAAGTAATACCATATCCAGTTTCCCCAGTGAAAACGTCTTGCGGAACTATAGGGCTGGATCCAAACCGAATGCCGACATCACTATGGTCCATGGATCTCATGTGCATTCCTCCAGTTTTACTTGTACTCCTTCCCCTATTTGTCATGAAAAACCAACCGTACAGAGAACCTGAAAGAACAGTACAATGAAAACTATGATTCCTAACACCCAAATCCACCAATTGCAAGCACTTCGGTATACCTACCTCCTCTGTATCTCTCTTTTTCACTCACTGTGCAGCCACATCCCCTAAGTGTGAGAAACATGCCTCTCCCTTAGTGGTCCAGCAAACCTCTCTCAAGAATTAAGACCTTCCCCAATGGCCTCATTGCCTTTCCAGAACATAACACACCCAATCATCCATACTCAAATTTTCTCAATTCTTCCCAGTCTTTCTTGTCTTTCATGAGGGTCTTCCTCAAATCAGGATCCAGTCCAGATTCACTCATTGCATTTGGTTGTGCCTCCTTCATCTCTGTTTTTTTCTAGAACAAGTCCCTCACCCTGTCTTGTCTTTATTCGTGCTGCTTTGTAATGCCTTCCGGCATGTTCCTCTAGTCCTCCAATATGTCCTACAGACTGGAAGCTTGGCCTAATGTTCCAGCTCATCCTTTTGTCAGGAGAGTTTCAGAGCTGGTGTTACGTGCTCCCTGTTGTGCCCACTGGGAGGGTGGGAATGCTGAGCTGACCGTTAACTGGATCGTCACTTTGATAGCCTGTTTGAGAGCGGCTACCAACCTGATCTCCCCATTGTGAAGATACGTACCCCTTCACAGTTGTCATGTGATCTTTGGCTGATGCTTTGGCATCCACAAAACGTTGGCCAATGTCCAATCCCCTGACCATTCTTCATCTGATGACTTTAGTATCTATTGAGGGTCCTTGTCGGGAACACGTTCTCCTTTGGCACAGCAGGGTTTCCTTCAGATCGTCGAGACACTTTGTCTTTAATCTGTGAACATTGGGAAGCCCCTGGGGATGTGGGTTAAATGGGAGGTTGTGAAGTGTTGGTGCCTTGGCCAGATTTGCAATTTGAAAAGGCCATTCTGGGTCAAGGGTGGGGGTCAGGAGGGAGAAGAGTGTACATGGGCAGACAGGCCAGGATTCCCCTCAGCAGTCCAGGTGAGAGAGGATGACCGTTTATTTAGTTGGGTGGGGATGGGGATGGACAGAAGCAGATGGATTGATGGCTATTGTTAGAGATGCCCACTTATTATATGGGGCATCTTGTGAATAATCAAACTGAAAAATACAGCAGGAATGGATTGGCACTGAAAGAGGAAATTTTCACAGAAGATCTTCTGTTAGTCCTCTGTGTCCCCTTGTTGACTTGGAGATGCCAGTGTAATAGTCTGCTAAGCCTCATCGACCATGGTGAGGACCATCTCCATGGCTAGTAAATTATGCAGACGGACAAGGACGCCTTACAAAACCTCATCCTCCACAATATGCAGCGTTTTGTCTGATCAGCAAAGTACCAAAATTTAACAGCTGAGCCATACTAATGAAGTATGGGACTGTGTTTCCTAGAAAAAAAAAATAAGGGAGTTGGGAAAATATGCTTCTCTTCCAGAATAATAAAACCCAGACCCTGTATCTCAATTATTAGGCTTTGAGGAGTGATCAGCAAGAAAGGCAGCAATTTCATGCAAATAGAGATGTGGCTAAATTATGGCACTCAGCCGGCCAAATATGCAACCTGGTCATTAAAATGTGAAACTCTTGACAAAGTGGGAAAACTTAAGTGGAGAAATATGAATTGCAGTTATTAGCCTTGGGGAGAGACATCCCCCATTCATTGTGTCTGGGGGCCCCTGGAGTGCTCCTGCCCTGCGTGAACTTGGGCTTGGCGGTCAGAGCTGGTGTGAGCAGAGTCTGGAGGACGTGGGGCTGACTTTTCTCTCTTGAAGAGGCCCAGGTCCTGATCTTCTCTTTGACTGGGGGCCTCTGCTGTAAAACGGGGATCACGGTTGCTCCCTGAGTTTTTTATTCATGGTAGGGGGCACACAGTAGGCATGACTTGCCAGAACCCGGCATGGCTAGTCAGGTTGCAAAGAAAGTATTTAAGTTGGCCCAGCAGCTTACTGATGCTATCAAATTTAGCTGCTGCCTTTTTGCGAGAAGCACTTGTTTACGACTTTGCTGAGAGTTGCTTTCTTGGCTGCTTAAATTCTGTACATCACCTTGGGCTTCACAGCCGTTGCACCTAATTATGATTCCGTAGATTAAATAAATGAGAAATAACCACTCATTTGGCAATCTCTGACCATGGCCTCATTTTTCTAAGTGAATCCTCTGTGGCTTTTCCCCTGCCCACCCCACAACTGGAGGGAGCATGGAGACTCCTCGGGGAGGTGTGCTTTTCAGGGTAACCGCTAGTTTTGTTCTGCTCAGCTCAGAACAAGGGCCAAGCCGGCAGGTTCAAGAAATTCTCCAAATTCTGACAGGCACAGGGTAGAGCCCCTAGGAAACGGGTACCCCTTCCTGATGCCACGAGCAGTCTTAGCAGCATGGAAGGAGCATAGGACGGCAGGGAATGACCCATGACGTGCAGAGGATCATGCCCAAGGTTGGCAGAAGCATAACTGCATAGGTTGTGGGGTTGTAGCTGCCATCTAAAAGCGGCCACATGACCGCATGCTCCGATGTTTATGATGAACAGAGCTGGTGCAGATGGTCAGGAGTTCCCGCTTGAGCCTTTTATTTGTAAATTACATAAGAAAAAGGAATGGATGTTCCTACCCCATATTCAACCTGCTAGGCCCTGTTCCTAATGAAAAATGCGTTTAGAGTAAATCCTACATGTTATGTTTGCAAAATGTATGTTTTCCTATAAGCAGAAAGAATGCATATTTGTAACCTGGGGATCTCCTCTTTATGACTATGACAGAGACCCGCCCAGGTCCTGTTCCCGAATATATCCCTGAAAAAGTTATCACAGGCAGAAGGTGCTCCGGCAAACAGAAAGAAAAAAGCTCCTATAAAATACATCTTCATTACTTTTTGGAATGTTTTCATTCTGCTAAAAAAAATGAGGTCATTTATACTGTAATTATTCAAGAGGGGATTGGTTTTTCTCCTTTTTCTTGGTGGGCTGTTGCAATGTTCTGGTTTTTTTTTTTGTTTGTTTGTTTTTTTTTATTTCAGGATTTCCTGATGGAAACATTCATCATGTTTAAGAACCTCATTGGGAAGAACGTCTACCCTTTCGACTGGGTGATAATGAACATGATGCAGAATAAGTGAGTATAGGGAGAAAAGCTCCCACCTTTTACAAGGTGTCTAATTCATGTCTGCTGGGCACAGTGGTGTTGCCTGGATACCACGGGGTCTCTCCTACAAGGAACACAACCCCGCCATTCTGTGATGCAAACGGTTGTTTGGAGAAACAGACCTGGAGATTGGGTGATTTCCTTATGCCAATGTGGGGCTCTGCCTCCTGGAGAAACACAGAGCTGAGCCCTAGCCCCCCTTAGCCTTGGTCTGGGGCAGCCTCTGTCAAGGGTACGGTTTGCCATCAATTTGCTGTCTCATTTTAACCACATGTGTTTATTAGCCCAAGTGATTCTCACTCTGTCTCAGTTTTTGAAAGGTGTTTGCATTTCTCCTATTTCAGCTTTAAAAAGTGAGCATTTTCTCTGTACTTATTAAATATTAATCTTGTGCCTTGTTTATCATTTCCCTGTGAAGGCTGTTGGTTAACTTTCCAGCGCTTGTGTTCTACAATTTCGGTAAGCACCAACAATGATCACTGGGTTCTTAATCTCGTGTGATTCCTGGAAAAATTCCTGTTGACCTCCTTTTTTTCCCCTCTCCTTCGTTATTGCATTTTTTATGGAGATAATTGTAGATTCATAGGCATTACGGTTATAAAAAGAAATACAGAGAGATCTGTATACACTTTACCCAGGTTCCCTTAGTGACAACATTTTGCAAAACTAGAGCTCCATGTTGCAGCCAGGGGTTCGGTGTCGGTAGAATTCGTGGGGTTACACAGATCTTCCTGCTGTATTTGTGCTTGGCCGCGGCGCCTCTTCTTGAATCCACCAACACAAGGGTCCCTCTTGTTGTCCATGTATAACATGTCCTCCTCGCCCCTCCACCTCTACCCTCGAGAAACCCCGGGCAACCACTGATTTTTCCTCCTCTTCTAAAATTTTGTTATCTCAAATGTGATGTGTAAATGGAATTATACGGCATGTAACATTTCAGGATTGGCTTCTTTCACTCTGCTTCATTCGCTGGAGATTCACTCAGGTTGCTGGGTGCATCGCTAGTTTGTTCCTTTTGATTGCTGAGAGGCGTTCCATGGTACGGATGTGCTCTGGATGGTTTAACCATTCATCTGCCGAAGGACATCTGGGCCCTTTCCACTTTGGGGCTATTACCAATAAAGCTGCCACGAACATTCGCATACAGAGTTTTGTGTGAACATAAGTTCATTTCTCTGGCATAAATGCCCTGCGGTAGATCTCTAGGGTTGTATGCTTGCTCCACGTTTAGGTTTATAGAAACTGCCCAACTACAGCTGTATCATTTTACATTCTCACCAGCAGCGTGAGAACGATCCCGTTCTTCTGCATCCATGCTAGCATTTGCCATGGTCACTATTTTTCATTGTAGCCCTGGTGGTAGAGGTGTGTGTCTCACTGTGGTCTTGGTTCGCATTTTCCCCGATGCAGCAAACGATGACTTGCCATGTCATTAAAGAAATCATAGTCCCGGTCACAGTGCTGACCAGAACCAAAGGCAGGCCCTGGTGCAGGGTGTGGACTTTGTACTCTACCTTGTGACACTACATGTGAACTTGACCTGCATCTTTCTGACAAGAGCCCGCCGCGGCCTGGCACCCAGCCTGTCCATTCCACACCCTGGGGGTGGGGACTGCTCCTTCAAAGGTCAGATGTGATTCACACCTCAAAGTTGTTTGACTCTGTGCCTCTGATCCCAGAGGTCCCAAGGAAAGTACAGCCACACCCTGTTGATTTCCGCTATATTATGGTGAGTGAGAGTCTGTTTTCAGTTTTAACATGATGATCGCCTCATTCCCTCTTCTATTCCATCATCGGCCTCCTGCTACCAACCCTGATATGTCTGAGCATCACCCCAGACCTGCATGTGGGTGAAAGCCACGTGGCCTTTGGTTCAAAGTGTGGAGCACTGTGCTCAGGGTCCCCTTCTCTGGACATTCTGTCCAGCTTCTCCTGATGTGTTCTGTTGTTTCTTCAGTGAGAGAGTGGCTTGACCTGTGGTCTCCAGAATTGCGTGTTCGCTGCATGTGAAGCCAGCCTTGTCCCTGTGTCCCGGGTCACTAGTGCACGTCTGCAGGGCCCCGCCGTGTTACCGAGACACAGGTGTGTGGTGGCATCTAGGACCCAAGCCTTTGCATCTCACCACAGGGAGGAGAATTCTTGTTTGGGGGGTAGGGAACCTCTATGAGGGAGAAGCCACATCTGCTGTGTCCTCATGCAAGCACTAGGATGGCCACTTCTGAGGATAAAGTCTGGTGTCAGTGATAATAGAATTCAGGTCTGGAGCAGGGAGTCCATCCTGTTCTCTTGTTTGGAGGCTGCAGCTCCAAGAGCCAGCTTGCTAAGGGACACACTGTGAATATAAACTCCCTGTGGTCTATGTCGTACATAAATTGTGGTACAGAAGTGTCTCAGCTAAAGTCCTAGTACTCTGGGGCCGAGCCATCCAGCCCATACTGCTTTCCTCTGCAAGAGCTTTTCGAGGCTGAGTGGTGTGTGTGTGTGTGTGTGTGTGTGTGTAAGTACACGCGTGGTGCACGTACACGTCCATGCACGTGGGGGAGTGTTGGCACCAAGTGAAGGCACTTGGATTTGCGGAGATTCTGGCTGTGCGAGGCTCAGAGCCACCCAGGTTCCTGTCACAGTTGACACATTCCGTAGGAATAGGGTCCCAAGCCAACGTGTGTAGCAGACGAGTGAGCTGCAAAGGGCGCGTGTAGGTCAATGTTCACGCAGCAGTGACCGTAAGCTTCGTTCTGGAATCCCACTGCCCCAAAATGCTGACCCCTCTGCTGAGTGAACAATATTGGTTTTTCGAAGCTGAATCAGTTGGGTCTTGGAAGAAAAGCTTTTACCTCTCTGCCAGCAACTAGCTAAAACTTCAAGCCATCCCAAGACATCTGGGTTCGTGACCCTTCAGTTTTCTTTAAAGTTCTTGCTTAAGTGTCAGCTTCAGAATGAAGAGTTTATTTCATTTTTTAGTGAATGCAGTCATTCTTTGCGATGTGTTCTGTGTTTGCATCTGAGGACTACAGATGAGCATTTGACACGCTTGCCGTGTGCCCAGCGCTGCCGTGGGGATAGCGCAGTAATCATGCCCATAATCCCCACAGCCGTACTCTGAGACAGCTGGGTTTTTATGCCCATTTTACAGACGGGGAGATTGAAGCTTAAAGGTTTGGTAACTTGCCAAAAGACACACAGCTGGGCAGTGATAGGGCCAGTCTTTAAATCCAGAGCCCACCCTCTAAACCATCCTGTTGCCTTGAATATGTCTTCTCTTCTTCATAGAGAGTGTTGTTGTTTTTAACCCTGTGTCCTTTGAGTGCACCTTATTTCCTGCTTCCCTGACTGAATGTTAAGCATGGAAGTCAAAACCTTCTTACTTGGCTTTCTTCTCCATGAAAAGTATATGCTGTTAAAGAGGGTATCATTTATTGCTGAAATTTATAGAGTCCTGCTGTAAACTTCTAGAAGAACAAAAGCTCACTATCATTGTAATAAAATAATTTCCTATAGAAATTACATAGATACCATATAGCATTGTCTCTGTGCTAGTATCTATGTTTTTTTTTTTTTTTAAAGCTATAACTTCATTGCTCAGTACCTTACGTGTCGCCAGACTTCCATGCTCTTCCTCTTCCTGGCATGTGTCGGAGATCTCCTTGCTTCCATAGGATAAACGGTGATTCCCAGAAGCTTCCAGGAGTCTGTATTTTAGTTTCAATGGCACAGCTGGACATGCAGTTTTACCATCCACAGCTTCGAAATCGACAGACTCAGCCCCTGTGGTCTCTTAAATATTTGTGTGCTTGTTCTGCTTTGCGTCTGCAAATGTACCATTCTTCAATACATGGAGCTTCTCCAACATAATTAAAGATGGTGCCTGTCAGTTCTGGAGCAACCACTTGTAAATCAGGAGTCAAAGTTATAGGATCCAGTGAATGTCCCCAGGACAGGAGTTACTTGGATGCTGTGTTCAGGATATCAACTGAGTGGTGATGGCCTGACATTATAGCTCTGCTCTTGGATATGACAGTGCCAGATGGTAAGATGACATTTAAGATGAGCACAGTTCACATCATGTAGAAGTGTGCTTGCATGTTATCTTCCAGAAGTGCTTTATGATCTTCCCCGAGGGAAGCAAAGGCTAAGTCTTCATGTAAGATCTGCTGCTGTATTGGAAGCAGAGACCTTCTCTGTTAGCCTTTAAGTGCTAGGACCCATCCTTGAACTCCTAGAAGCCAACTTTCTCAGATTTATGCTTCGTGGTGTGCGCAGCAGAGTCTAATACTGAAGACTTATACGGTGGCTCTTACAGAGTTCCCTCTGGTTGTTGGCAGAAGTGTGACCGCTTGGTTGAGTTTCTGTGTCTTCTAGTCTTAGCACTTGAATTCATCCCAGTAGTGTGTTTGTACACTAAAAATCCCAGACTAGAATTTTAAGGCATAGGTGTGATCTGGGAGGCAATGAGTCTACTCATTGGTTTGACTGAATTCCTTTTTCACCTTGAAGAAAGATTTTGTTGTTAACTGCCGTAATTTCACTCGAGAAAGGCACTTCTACAATGTACGTTGGGTGAAGAAAAAGGGCAGTACAGAGTTTAATTTTCAGATTTTTAACATTAGACTTTCTAACTCATATTGTGTATAACATGGACCAAAACCCTTCCTACATCTGTCAATCATTTCGTCTTGCAACAGAATTTTTAAAAAATTCGGCTACCCCGATTTGGATTCTCACTAGGCTTTGTTGCTTGTGTCCCTCTCTCCGGATAAAAAATAAATGAATTATAGGTAGCTGAAAATGGTGGAGTCTGGGAGGACTGTGTTTTCCTGCTCAACTTCCTCCTCAAGAAAAACCTCTCCCGTGGAAGGGCATGCAACATTTTTACTTCCTCAGATCACTCTAAGCTTGCAACAGTGATTATCCATCATTTTTAACTGTTCCTCCATTATTAGCACGGATTTGGTGTCTGGTGCTTTTTGCTT